GCCTCAGCCTCCTGAGTGCTGGGATTACAGGCGTGCGCCACCACACCTGGTTCCCTTGTTTTTGTGTTTTGAGACAGAGTCTCACTATTAGTTCAGGCTGGCCTTGAATTCACTATGTTGTCCAGGCTGGCCTTGATCTTGCAGCAGTCCTCCTTAGCCTTCTGAGTGCTGGAATTATAGGTGTGTGTCACCGCACCTGGCTTCACTGTGTTAAAGTATACGATTCAGCAGGGTTTTTTTGGGGGGGCGGTGAGGGTTTTGAAGCCAGTACCTTAAGCATGCTAGGCAAGCATTCTACCATTGAGGGACAGCAGTAGCCCCCCCCACTTCCTTCCTTCCTTTCTTCAGACAGGGTCTCACTGTTTAGTTCAGGCTGGCCTTGAACTCATGGTGATCCTCCTGTCTCAGCCTCCCAAGTCCTGACATTACAGGCATATATTGGAACACCTGGCTTGGTTTTGGTTTTCAAAAATTATTATTTTTTTTTCCACTTTTTTTTTTTTGGTACCAGGAATCGAACCCAGGGCCTCGTGCTTGCTGGGCAGGTGCTGCGCCACTGAGCTACGTCCCCGGCCCCCAAAAATTATTTTTTCCTGGGCTGGGGATTTAGCTCAGTGGTGCTGCCTCTGCCTCACAAGTGCAAGGTTCTGAGTTTGCTCCCTGGTACTGCACCCCCCCCCCAAATATATATGTAAATATGTGTGTGTGTGTGTGTGTGTGTGTGTGTAAATATATATATGTGTATGTATGTATGTATATATATATTTCCTCCCCGCTTTTTCTTTGTTGAGGGTTTCAGGGCAGGTGCTGACCAAGGGTGTGTGGAGCGGGGAGGTGCCATCCAGGGAGGCCACTTGCTTGGTAACCACAGTGACAGCAGAGAAGGTGGAGGTGGGTAAGGAGTTAGACATGGCAGCTGATCTCAACCTGGAGTGTATCTGCTCCCTGCCCTGCTCCTGGACTTACGTGATCACCAGGGTGGCTGAGTCTTCTTCTTCAGTGAGGAGGCCAAGAGTACCACTTGGCTGTACCCCCATCCCCAGCGAGGCCATGGCCACTGGGCACCAGCAGCAGAGCACAGATTTGGCTCCTGGCTGGGAAGAAACATACACTTTTGAAGATGCAAGATACTATATAAACCATAATGAGAGGAAAGTGACTTGCAAGACCCCAATCACATGACAGCCATCACAGGACAATTCTACTTTTTCAGTGAATGAACAAATTTTTTTTTCCCTGGTACTGGGGATTGAGCTCAGGACCTTGCACTTACAAGGCAGGCAAAGCACCACTGAGCTAAATCCCCAGCTCCTCATGTTTTTAGGACCATTGCGACAATGACATATGAAGAAAAGAAGGAATGACCTATAGCTTCTATCCTTAACATGACTTCAGATTGTACAGTACATCAATGAGCCCTGTAGGACAAACTTCACAGCCTTCAGAAAAAAGTGTGTAATTTTTGAAAGAGATCACATTCAATGAAAAGGAACCCTCATGCATGTGTGGTCAGACAAGGTTAGCTTTACAGTACTGGCATGAAGCCAGTGATGGAAGAAACTCTGGTTCGTGCTTTCTGACCTTTGCCTCTTATAGAGCTGAGAAAGGTGTCCTGGGAAGCATACTCTTACCTAGTCTTCATATAGTTCTGCTTACCTCTGAGGGTCACATTAATCACAAGTGTGCTTTCAAGGCAGCCCATCCAACCATGTGGACCTATTTCTTCACTGATACAGGAAAGGAAATGGAGTTGTGGGTAAATGTTAGATGCTGCCCTTATACAGACAGAACCTATGAAAAGAGTGGGCAAGATTCCATCTGAAAGTGCACCAGCTAAACCAAATAGCATTCCCAACCATAGAGTGCTAATTAAACCAGAGGCCCCTCAAAGCAAGGAAATAAGCAAGCTTGAAGAAAAAAAGGCATTAGAAGCTGAAAAATAATGCATTTCAAAGGGATGGTCAAGATGGACTATTAACAAAAATTAATAGTATAAAGTTGAATTCTCCGCCATCTGGTGGGTCGACGTGCTCAACTCAGATTACACACTACTGACCAGTCATTATGAGTAGTTCAAAGCACAAAGCAGTTAATGTCAGCCTGGCAAATCTGAGAGGTGGAAATTATCCCAACACAGCCCCTTACCCACAGTTGTAACAAAGAACAAATTCAGTACAGCAGTTGGAACGGTGGGTTAAAACCCAGAAGGGAGAAATTGTGAAGACTAGAGGGTATACCTTGGCATGATGACCCCCAAGTTTCTTTGACATTATGTTGATGGAGATTGGTTTCTGAACTACCAATTAAAAGTATGGGTTTAAATTATTTTTAAAATTATTTTTCTTCTGCATACAGAAAATGTTCTTTTTTGGGTTTTTGTTTGTTTGGGGGTGGTCTTTTTTTGTTTGTTTGTTTGTTTTGAGACAGGTCTCCTTACATGATTCAGGCTGTCCTTGAACTCACTATATATTGCAGGTTGGCCTTGAACTCATGGTGATCCTCCTGCCTCAGCCTCCTAAGTGCTAGGATTACAGGCATGTACCACCACGCCTGGCTTTTAGTTGTTGTTTTTTGTTTGTTTTTTGCTGTGTAGTTCAGGCTGGCCTTGAATTCACTATAGGCCAGGCTGGCCTCAAATTCTCAGCAATCCTTCTGCCTCAGCGTCCTGAGTGCTGGAATTACAGGCATGTGCCACTACCCTCAGCCAAAATGAATGTGATCTTCTAGACTGTTTTAAACATTCCACAAAACTCCCTTCAAAACCAATTTTCAGCTAGGAGTGGTGGCGAATGCCTGTAATTCCAGCACTAGGGAGGCTGAGGCAGGAGTAGCTCTGTGAGTTCAAAACCAGCCTGGCTACATAGTGAGTTCCACATCAGTCTCAACTACATAGTGAGACCCTGTCTCAAAACACCAACCTCCCTGCAAAACCCAGTTTTCAGTGAGAAGCCAGACTTCCCTGTGTGAGGTGGACAGCTGGGCCTGTGAGTTCTTACAGGGAGCTTTTCAACTGGCCGCAGCATACAGCAGTGCTCTCAGTAGTTGGGACCTCCTGAGTCAGGTGCCCTGGGTGACATTGTAAAGGCTGCGTAAAGAAGCCAACGCTTACAGACCAGTGATGTGGCTTCTCAGGTATGCCTGCCTCTCCTGGCACCAGACACGGACAGGTCTAAGCATCCATCCATGCCCAGACAAGGAGCACATCTGAGTAGTGTCTTGGCAGAGCTTGCTAGGAAGGGGAAAGAGAAAATACAGCAGTTTCTCTGAATTCTTCAAGACAGTGTAATTTTTCAAGACATGGACTGATGGAAGAATCTTAGAAACTGAAATATGTATTGTAAGCCTGGTGTGGTGGCCCACATCTTCAGAGTAGGCTGAGGGAGGAAGATTACAAACTCAAGGCCAACCTGCACAATTTAGTGAGACCATGCACTCAATAAAAGGGCTGGGGATGTAGCTCTGCAGTGTAGTACTTGCCTAACATTCATGGGGCCCTAGTTTATTCTCCAGTGCTGCTGCAACAAGAAGCCACGAAAAGAGAAAGATGCTGCCACGTGCCTCACAAGCGCAAGGCCCCCTGCGTTCTATCCCCAGTAGCAAAAAAATTTTTTAAATAAAAAAATTAAACTGGAACCAGGGATTTAACTCAGTGGTACTACCGCCTTCCTTGCAAGCACAAGGTCCTACATTCGATCCCTGGTACCAATAAATAAATAAATAAAACTGGGTTTAAGCAGTATTTTTTCAATGGATTTTGTTAAGTCTTAGTATCTTTGATCTCTGTTTTAAAAACTCATATCTGGGCCAGGCATGGTGGCGCACACCTGTAATCCCAGCACTTGGGAGGCTGAGGCAGGAGTATCTCTGTGAGTTCGAGACCAACCTGGGCTACATAGTGAGTTCCAGTTCAGTCTCCACTACATAGTGATACCCTGTCTCAAAAAAACGAACAATTCAAATCTGGGGCCAGCGATTTAGCTCAGTGGCGCTGGGCTGCTGCTGCCTCATAAGCACAAGGTCCCAGGTTTGATCCCTGGTACCAAAAATAAAAATAAAAATAAAAATCGCATCTTTGTATCAAATAAACTATTATAGTTCAAAATACCTGTGCAAATTGTCCAATCATTTAAACATGAAATAACCAAAATAGGAAATTCAGACTGTTACGACTGGTTTTCTTGAAGCATTTATTTTCTGGTAGACTCTGCTACTGGCTCCAACCACACTATTCAGTCTTTCTAGCACCCCTGTGGAGAATAGATGTTTGTCTCCATCCTACAGATAAGAAAACAGCACAGGGCTGGGGATTTGGCTCAGTGGTACCCCTGCAAGCGCGAAGTCCTGAGTTGGATCCCTGGTACCAAAAAAAAGGCGGGGGGGACTGAGCACAAAAAGCTAGGGGGGGACTGAGCACAAAAAGCTAGGTAACTTGCTGAGGTCACAGCTCAGAGTTTGAATGTTGGTCTCTGAGGCCCCATGTGTCCTCCTGAAGCTGGGATGAGTCTCCTTTGAAGAGGAGAAGCTGGGCCTGAGGCTGTGCTGGGACTTTGGCATCCTGGGGAAGGTACTCAGTCCCCTACCTACCCCTAGGTGCTTGTGTTGCTACGTGAGCATCTGGTGTCCCTGGAGAGCCGGCAGGGTTTAAGAAGGGCAGCCTTGGGCGGGGGATTTAGCTCAGTGATTCTGCCACCTGCCTTGCAAGTGCAAGGACCTGAGTTCGATCCCCAGTACCCTAAAGGTGGGGGGGCAGCCTGGTGTGCCTGCTGAGGAGAGCTGTGACCTCTGTGTTGACAGAAGGTGCCTTTTGAGGGCAAAGTGAAAGGAGCAGAAGGTTGGGGCCCAAGCTCAGAACCCACTGCTGGGAATGGACAGTACCCAGGCTATCCAGAGTAGGAGGAGGTGTTCGGCGGCCTGTGGTTGATATGACTCACTTGTGAAGGGTGGCTGTGTGAGGCCACTTTGGGGAGCATCCAGGTAACTTTTATCTTTTTTGTTTTTAGTCCTGGGATATTTTTTTTCGCAACACCAATGCCGGAGCACCCCCAGGTGCTGCATACCAGAGCCCCCTGACCCTGAGCCGAGGCTCCCTGGCCACTGCAGCCCGTGCACAGTCCCTGGTTGAGGCCCAACCCAACGTGGACAAGCTTGTGGAGGACCACCTGGCAGTGCAGTCACTCATCAGGGCATACCAGGTGAGCAGAGGCTGACAGCGGTAGGGTGGGGAGGACACAGTGTCCTTGGGCTTTCTGAGCGTGTGATGCTATTTAACACTATCTCCAAACCTAGGTGCACCCCTGCCTTGGGGCCCTAAAGAAGCAAAAACCAAATACATAGGAGAAAAGGAACCAGGCTAACTGTAATTGAGCAAATCCTCTGCCACCTTTAGTACCTGCCTCATTGTAGCTCTTTTCTTTT